AAATGTCATGTAAAATATTAAAATTAATAAATAATTAATTCTCCAGAGAGATGAGTGGCCTAACAGTTTTTATAAAAGCAGATGGTCTTCTATGTCCCCAAAACCTAGGCTTTTGATTCAACATATTTTGAGTTTTACTCACTAAATAATCTGGAAGAGTTACCACTTCCCAGGAGTGAGGTAACATAAGAGAAAAACAAAAGAGGGTAAGAAAGGAAGAAAAGGAAATAGTAAACTGTCACTCTCCAGTAGGAATGCTGCCTTACCATTATTTAGTCCTTGTTTTTCCTGCTTTCCACTTAAAAAATTATAAAGTCATAACAATGAATAATACAAGTAAAGATGCCTAACTCAATTCACGATGAGTTATAGGAAGAAAGTTAGTAACTTAAAAGATTCATCTGTTAAAGTTTAAAAAATAAAATTCATGCTATCACATTAAATATATGAATATGTATAGAAGTGTAAGTTCTCATATTTAAAGGAGATAAAGTGGATAAAGTCTTGCTTAAAAATTTCTCACTGACACAATAGCCAAGACCGGAAAAAGAAACGTATTCAAAAGGTCAGATGTATACATTCTATATGCCTAACTCCAGAACTTGAGTATAAACGTACATAAGGCTTAAAATAAAATTTACTGATACAATAAAACTCCACATTAAAAAATTTCAAATTCACCAATCTCTCAAACTGACATGTCCTCAGAACCAATTTAAATCCAAGTAGTTCACAGGATTTACAAGGCAATTTTTTCAGAAGACAGAAAAGTTTTACCATTATAACAAAATGATACCTGAGGGAGGGCACCATAATTCCATATATAACCCTTGTGAGGGAAGATATTCGCCGCGTAGCGTAGTTTGCCATTCTTTACATCTTGTTTAATGGGATTCAGTGGTTCCTTAGTGGCAATCTAAGCAAATCACAGGGGAAAGACAGGGAGAGGAGGACAAGAAATGATTAATCCTGCATCCAAGTAGTATTTTTAAAATCTGTTTTTCAGACTAAATATTCATGTTCGAACTTAATGATCAAAAGTGCCCTAAAGCGCGGTGGCTCACGCCTGTAATCCTAGCTCTCTGGGAGGCCGAGGCGGGCGGATTGTTTGAGCTCAGGAGTTCGAGACCAGAGCGAGACCCCGTCTCTACTAAAAATACAAAGAAATTAATCGGACAACTAAGAATACATAGAAAAAATTAGCCAGGCATGGTGGCGCATGCCTGTAGTCCCAGCTACTCAGGACGCTGAGGCAGGAGGATCGCTTGAGCCCAGGAGTGTGAGGTTGCTGTGAGCTAGGATGACGCCACGGCACTCTAGCCCGGGCAACACAGTGAGACTCTGT